GGGGCCGAGAGGGTCTGCCCTTCAGGGTGGTTCTGAACCAGACACCGGCGGCTTGCAGTTTGCAGCAGCTGGTGACAGTTTCAAGGGCATGCCTCATTTGGAAGGTTTGCACCTGTGGCATGAAAGGAAGGCCAGGAGAGCGGTGGGGGTTGCTTGATTGGACCTGGCAGTTGGTGGCTTGGTCTTTGCTGTGAAGTGAAGCCGCCAAGCTTCGTGAGACCCTCCCTTGTACCGGCAGTGTGTTGACGTTTGTACCATGTGCCGGTCGACTTGGGGGCCGAGAGGGTCTGCCCTTCAGGGCGGTTCTGAACCAGACCCGGGCCGCTTGCAGTTTGCAGCAGCTGGTCACAGTTTCAGGGCCATGCCTTGTTCTGACGTTTTGCACGTATGGCATGAAAGGAAGGCCAGGAGAGCGGTTGGGGTTGCTTGATTGGGCTTGGCAGTTGGTGGCTTGGTCTTTGCTGTGAAGTGAAGCCGCCAAGCTTTGAGGAGACCCTCCCTTGTACCGGCAGTGTGTTGACGTTTGTACCATGTGCCGGTCGACTTGGGGGCCGAGAGGGTCTGCCCTTCAGGGCGGGTCTGATCCAGACACGGGCCGCTTGCAGTTTGCAGCAGCTGGTCACAGTTTCAGGGGCATGTCTTGTTTGGAAGGTTTGCACCTGTGGTATGAAAGGTAGGCCAGGAGAGCGGTTGGGGTTGCTTGATTGGGCTTGGCAGTTGGTGGCTTGGTCTTTGCTATGAAGTGAAGCCGCCAAGCTTTGAGGAGACCCTCCCTTGTACCGGCAGTGTGTTGACGTTTGTACCATGTGCCGGTCGACTTGGGGGCCGAGAGGGTCTGCCCTTCAGGGCGGGTCTGAACCAGATACGGGCCGTTTGCAGTTTGCAGCAGCTGGTCACAGTTTCAGGGGCATGTCTTGTTTGGCAGGCTTGCACGTGTGGCATGAAAGGAAGGCCAGGAGAGTGGTTGGGATTGCTCGATGCGGCTTGGCAGTGGGTGGCTTGGTCTTTGCTTTGATTTGAAGCAGACCCTCCCTTGTGCCGGCAGTGTGTGGACGTTTGTACCATGTGTTGGTCGACTTGGGGGCCGAGAGGGTCTGCCCTTGAGGGCGGGTCTGAACCAGGCACGGGCCGCTTACATATTTGTGTGTATGTCTTCCTTTTTTCTCTTTTCGAAGGATATTTTCTAGATGCTGCGCCTTTGCTTGTGTTCCACTTACTCCTGGATTCTTGGCCACGGCTAGCTGGTTAAATAGAATTTGCCAGCTCCTGGAGTCCTGGACGTACAGGATTCTTCAGGTAGGCCAGACAATTGGGGTTGGACACGTTAAACCATGTCGTGATCATAGCAAGCGTTTTTAGCGCCTCATGTTAACGCGGTGGACCAGGAAACCTGCCCTGCTCTCGCTAAAACCGCATAGGTTGTGCCCACGGTGTTGACGTTGAGAGGGATGGAGTCAACATGGATAACCAGGATTGTTTGTAGCTACCCTTTACACCAAACACCGTGGTGATCTGGTAGGCTTTTTTTGAAGGGCACAAAGAGGGACCCTTTTGACAGAAGCACTCGTTGTTTGCTTGAACAGGCCTGCATGCAGATGTTATGTTTGCTTTTGGAGGGCAATAGAGTCAGTTTTGACATTTTTGGTCACAGATCTAGGGAACCCTTGAAACTCCGTTCATTTGCTATGGAATGATCTACACAATTATTCAGGGTCGCTTCCTCAAAAGTTGCGAAGCAAACGGAGCAAACGGAAGTTGCAGTCCCTTATTGAAGCGACGAAGCTCTGGATTGCAGTCTGGTAACATCTCGTATCACCTCTTCAGTTCAGTCATAATTATTCTGGCCTTGGCGGATTTGCGGCCGCGTAGCTACGAGGGTCTGGAGCCATAGAAAGGGTATGTCCTAGCATTGAAGTGAGTCTATTTTACCTTGGACCTTGAAATTTGATGTTCAATACTTGTTTGCTGAATCCCGTTTAAGCGCCGAATCCCGGTGGGTCCCGGCAGGTGTCGGTGGGTCCTGGTGGTTTGTGCATCGATTTGGGCGTCAGGCGATGTTGCTGGAGCTCGGTGTGCTGCACGCGGCAGGGGACCCTCAGTGGGAGCTCGAGCGTCCGCGGCTGTTTGCAACATGTTTGCCGCTAACATGCGTTTGGAGTTGGATTGGTGGCGTGTCCTACTTAAGCTAACTTTAGCAAATAAAGGATCTTCGAATCACTAAGGCAAGATCAATCTCCGCTTGCTGAATAAATTATTGTATTTTCCGATGGTTTGCAACGGAATCTATCACTACTTGATGTATTGTTCCTTTCAAGGGGACTTCAGCAAGTGGAAGAAAGTGGTAGCCCAACAAGTGAAGGTCCAGAAACTAGGGAGTGAGGAAAGTAAGGCTTGTTAAGCCCTGCAATACCCGTTCAAGAATCAGGATGGGATCGTGGAGTACTTGAAAAACATGTGGGGGTGTCTCAAAATTAGGGACCCCTTTGGGCGGTTGGTTTTCTTTTGGCTTCCCCTTAAAGCCATAGGGGTCCCCTGCTTTGAGACAGACCCATATAAATGTCATCGAACGAGTGCACTGTCATATAGTACTTATAGATGTATGGTATTGTATGGTGGCCTTTATATAAGTTGCTAGCATGGTTGAGCCAACCTTTGGTTCACGCATTGATTGACCCAGACCCCCAGTGACTCAGTGGATTGCTTCTTGCTTTCCTTTATTGTTGGAAGGGGTGTCCCCTCAAAATCAAGACTCCAAAGAAAGGACGCCTATCTTTTTCCAATTGAAATCAGGCTGGTTTCCTTTGGGTTTCCTTTTAAGGCCATCCACAAAGGGGGGGGTCCCCTATTTGGAGACACCCATTTGCAGGTTTATCTTCTTGATTTTCTGTTGTTTCCCGGTCATAAGCACAATTTTGAGAAACTCCTATGCGAAAGGGACGCCACCAGGTCGTTCGTTCGCTTTAGTGGGTATCTCTTTTTAGGATTTGAACCCCCCAAAATGGTGCAGCTTTTTTTGGTTCCCTTTCGAACTGCCAAAAATGGGCTACCCGCAACAAAGTCAGATACCCTTCCCGCCCCCCCTCTCCCCATTTTTGCTGAGGACCCCCACTGGGGTAACTGGCTGCGGCGAGAGGACCCGTGGAGGGGTTCGGCTTGGATCCGGCCGGTTGAAACCTGCGGTTTCTGGGATCTATGTTCTCGTCTGAAGTTACCGGCATTTTACATTGGATATGAACCAGAACCATAAATGCTAGTCTTGGTTGGGGGGGAAAACTGAGGAGGATTGCCTTTGATTTGTGGGGAATATTATATAAGTGAAACGACACGTTGAGTTTCTCTTGTAGGGCCAACAGCGGGTTGTGCCTTGAGGGCTAGCAGTGTTCGGGTGGGAAGCCCTCCCTTTGCATACCGCATCACATTGGTTAAGACGTAAGCTTGTGTTTACTATGCGGTGTAGGGATGATTCTGCATTTCGGTTTCCGCGGCTCCTTCTGAGGCTCGATATGCCTCCAAACCATTGTGAATCCCTGTGACGTATCATTGCCAGACTTAGCTTGCCTTTTTCCATGTTTCCCCGTTTTGGATTTGGTTTTCCAGTGCTTCCCTTTTAATTAGACACAAGTTGTTTGCAGTAAGTCTCTGTGCCACACTCTTTGTTTTCATTTGGTCCGATCCCGCCCAGTGTCGGATTTTGGGAAAACGGGGAGGGGGGTGGGTCCTATCATGTTAATGCCGCAGCATGTTCGTGCCGGTCCCCACAGATTTCTTGAACGCAATGCTTATGACGTCCTCCTTGCTTGACCTCTGGAAGGCAGCCAAGTTTGTAATTGTATGTAAATTCATGTATGTGATGATGTTGACATGCGGGGGTGCCCTTTTTTTAGGGGAGCCCTCAATTGGCGGTTTTCCGTTTGGCTTCCCTTTAGACCGATCCAGAAATCTGTGCCCTCAACAAAGGCGCACCCATATGCTTGGAAAGTGGCGCCCATGAATCTCCTGTTCATTTGGATCAAAGTCACATGGACTGGCTTTGGCCGATAGCTGAACGGCAGCCCTCCAGAAAGGCAACCAATCCGCAGGGAGTGAAGGCAAAGGACTTGCCCGCATTGGCGTGTGACATAGAATCATGCTGGGGCACCTTCGTATCCAACAGTGTGTCTACCGCTGCCCATAGTTGGTTGGTGCTAATGCACATGTGCTGGACCTGCCTTGACTCGGCAGTATAAGTATAGTTATATCATACCTTTGGCCCTTACACATCTTGTGCCGGGTGTTTATTGTCGAACATCATGGTCTTCTTGCTCGATTCCTCCGGCTTTTCTTGGACCAAGTCTACACCCGCAGCCCCATAGCTGTCGAAACAAAGTTGCGAAATCAAAGGAAGAAAGGAGGGGGGGTCCGACATGTCAACGTACCAGCCAGACTCCCCCAGTGGGTTGATTCCAGTTTTCCCTTTTTGGGGAGGGAGGTTCCTTTGCACATGAATTCCCCCCAAGTTGCCTTTTCTCCCCCATGGCCACTGGGAGGCAAGTAGCCAAGGCATGAATTTTGGAACTGGGGAACTTTTGAAAGATATCAGAGTTCGGGGATGAATGTCCACTCACGACTGTTGACAGGTCTCAGTAAATGCTGATTCCACCGGTTTTGCTGCCTGGAGGAAAATGGATGAAGCACCATTTTGGGTCACCAAAATGTTGCTTCACCCAGGATGAGTAGTCTTAGCTTTGAGCACAGCTCTTTGGTCGCGCGCGCTTTTCTCTCGGGCTCAAGACCCCCGCGAAACAAAAGCACAAAGCGATGCTTCAGCCTTGTGAGGGGTAGGGTGAAGCATTCTTAGCCAAGCTGTTGCTTTGTTGTTGGTCTAAATGCCAGGTTGTTATGTATGTGTCCGAATACGGATTTCGACACAAGCATGAGCTTCGGTTTCCCTTGAAATCAACACACATAGGGTACCCTCAAAAACACACACCCACTCACACACACACACACTCACGCCCGCTGGTTGGTTTCGCTTGCAGCGAGTTGCCATCCGTTGCCACTAAACCCAAGTGCCCTTTGGATGGGTTGCCAAACTGCGCCCATGAGTGTTGAAGATATGCTGCCCAAACGAGGCGACTCGGGCGACATTCAATGAGAACCCAGGATTCCTCAAATCCGTGGACTGCAGAACAACAAGCTGACTGGCATGTTTCGCTGAACACTTGGTGCGGTCTGGTGTTGTGGATACGGTCTTGTGTGTGCGTTTCTCAGAACTCTCCAGAAAATTATCCAAGCCTTTGGCGACAGTTTCCTGGAGACGGCTTCTTAGACTAAGTTCGGCGGTTGCGCCTCTGAGAAGCAAGCGCAAGATAATAGAGAGCAGCGAAATGCAATGGCTGGCAACAATATCAGAGTCCCAGGGCAGACAGGGGGGTAAAACGAGCTTACTATGCCGCAAGTCCTGTAGTCCTTCAGATGTTGGAGTCGGCACTTTGGCAGAATGTCGGCCCTAGTATCTTCAACTTGGAGGCAACTTCCGTTATTCATATGGGACTGGTACAAGCGGCCTACACAGGGCTACCTGTTCGGTCGGGGGGTTACCTCATGCTACCCTTGGTCAACTAGTAGTCAGTTTGATTCAGAGGTGGCTGGTCTTCCCATCCACTTTGAATGGTGAGGGACAACCATTTTTTTTCTCAAACATACTCCCCTGCAAATCACACTGACCCCCCAAAACGGGGTTGCCCAGAAGGAGCTTCCTGCACAAAGGGTTGTTTTGTGGGTTCCGTGTTAGCCGCAGGAGAGTAGTTCTTGGCACTGCGCACTTGGGCAAAGGAGTCAACGATGCGCGTTTCGCGGGTTCCCTTCAACCTTACTTGATTTCCGCCTAAGACAGATGCGTAGCATTGAACGAGGCCTACTGGCATTGCTTTCGGGTGTATTCTTATTTGTTTCGTGTGGCACACCTCGGATTGAACTAGCAAAGCAAACACAAGCGAAGTTGCTGCCTTGCTGTCGTCAAACTCCCTAAAAATGATGTCTACTAAAGGGCGCACTGAAAACCAGTACCCCTCTTCGCAACAATCATGAGAGGTGGTTCCTTTTAGTTTGTAAGACCCTCTTGGGGTCTTCTGAAAGGGACAGCTTTCGTGTTGACCTCTCCGGTCAGCTTCCATTGGAAGGTAGCCACCTGAAGCCCGGATGGCCCGCCTCTGCACCTGCACTTTCCACCCAAACTGGTTGTTTCCTTCGGTTTGGGTCCACACCAAACAAAAACGACAACTGCTACCGGATCGGTGTCCTCAGGCTACGAGGTTTGCAAGTTTAGCTTTTATCTCGGTAAAAGCACATTTTGGCACATATGGCACATCGGTGTGCAGCTGGTTTTGACAGGAGTCATACAATTTCCGCCTGTGGCCCTGTGGGTATTTTATTGGTCATTTTGCAATGACTGCTGCATTTGGTGACGATGATTTAGGGGGATCATTTGTCGACGTCAGCCCCCGTGATCACTTTGACCGTGGCCCTGGGCTCGCTCAAAAACGCCTGGCCGAGGCCTGCGCGTGGCGATCTTCGGAAGCACCCAGTTCTATGGGGCCGACTCCCAGGACCTTTGCCAGGCACCCTGGGCTCAAGGGGGGGTGGGCTCAGGGCCTGACTTGGTGAATTTGTTTACAAGGAAGTGGACAGCCCTATTTCATCAAAGACAGCCAGGGGTTCTACTCTGGGATTATTTTCAGTGTTTTTGTTTCCAGGGTATCAAAGTCAGAAACTGGGGGTTGTACTCCGCCCCAACCCCATTCCAACCCCACGCCTCCACCCGAACTCCACCCAAACCACTCCAAATACTCCAAATACTCCAAATACTCCAAATACTCCAATTCCATGCCAGCCCCACCCAACCCCGCCCCACGCTCGCCGACATCTTCCAGTTTTTGCCTGGCCTCAACCCCCACCCCGCCCAGCGCCACCTTTTCACCTCAACCCCACACCCAACCCCAACCCAATTCCACACAGCTCCACCCTCACCAACTGCGCCAGTTCCCACCACCCACCCTAACCCCACCTCTCCACCCCCCTATCCCGAACTCAACTCCACGCCCACCCCAACTCAACCCCAGATTCACCACAACACCCCAACCCCCGCTGCAAGGCACCTTAAGTGAACTCCACCCAACCCCAACTTACAGTAACCCCACCGTACCTCCACGCTGTGCACCAACAACCCCCACCCCCATCCACAAGCACCCAACCCCAACCCTTCCACCCAACACCCTCTCCAACACACATTAAGTCTTCACCTTAACCCCACCCAACCCCGACTCAACACCACCCCCACTCCAACCCATTTACCAACAACTCCACACCACCAGAACCCCCAACACGCTCCAAACCCTCTCCAAGACACCTCAGGTCTCCACTCCACCCCAACGCCACCCCTAAACCCCACCCTAACTCCACCACATTCACCAAAAGTACCACCATCCCCCCAGTGCCTCCAGCCACTCCACACCCCAGTTCCACCAAACCTCCACCCCAATTCCACTCCAACCCAAATGCCAAGATACACAACCAGACCTATCCAAACTCGACCCTCTCCAACAGACACACCAGAAGTCTCCACCTCAACCTCACACCCCAACTCCCAGTTCCACCACAACTCCACCCTCATTCCACCCCACCCCCACCCCAAGGCACCCAGGCCTTGAACCCTCAACCCTATAAACTAGAACGCGGTTTCGAAGCGGAGACGGCAGTGGACGCGCCACTCCTGTCGTTGGAGGAAGGGCTGGCCTTGGAAGAGGCGGGGGACAAGGGGAATAGCGCTCATGCGATGCAGGGGTTTGACGCGAGCGCTTTCAGCCACCAAAGGTGGCGGTCGACTCTAGTACCCAAGAGTATTGCAAGCGACCTTCGTGGAGTTCGGCGTGTGGAGAGTGCGGTGTTCATCAAGGTTCTGAGGCTTGAGCGGGTCGCCCTTATAGAGCGCGCCATGGGGTGGGAATACACAAAGCCCCCTATCAGACAAGTTTCTTAGAACGTTTGGCGGGTAGGGGGGCTTAAGTTATCAGCTCTATTGCTAGGGAACAGAAGAGAAGCAAGGACTGGTCGGAAGTCCAAAATGATTTTCAAAAGGTGAGCTTCTCTTTTTTAATCTCCGGCCATTTGTCCATTTGTCCATTGTTTTCCATTCATTCAAGCAAGCACTCAAGCAGGCAAGTGCACGCGCACGCACGCAAGCAAGCAAGCACAAACAGCCAGCAAGAGAGCAAGGCAGCCAGCACGCACGCATGCACGCAAACATGCACGCAAGCAAGCAAGCAAGCAATCAAGCAATCCAGCGAGCGCATGAAACCCACCGTAAACCCCACCAACGCGATCCCGAAACCCGCCCTAAATCCCACCATAATGCAAGTTTAAACTAGCCCTGAACCAACCCTAGACTTAAACCAAGCCCCAACCTAAACCAACTTAAGCCAACCCCAAACCCTAAACTAACCCTGAACCCACCTGAAACCTACCCTAAACCAACCCGAAACCAAGCCTAAGCCCACCCTAACCCCACTCTCAACTTTCGCGAAATCAAAGGTAGACCCACCTAAGCCCACTTTAGACCCAAGGTACACCCATGACCCAAGCCCACCCAAAGCACGGTAAAACCACCCTAAAACAATTCTACACCAATTACCCTAAATTCGCTGTAAACCATTCTGAGCCAACCTTAAACCAACCCTGAACCCCACCTAAATCACCGCGCACCCCCGAAGCCAGCCTGAGCCAACCCTAAGCATAACCCAAGCCACTATAACCCACCTTACGCCACTCTAAAGCCACCCCAAAGTAACCCTAACCTGTACCCACCCTAAACGACGCCCTAATCCCAACAGAAACGACCCTGAAACCTACCCTAAACCCACCAAAACAGTGGTGGAAAAAATCACGAGAACAAGTGGTCAAAAATCACAGGGAAAAAAGACAAACACTGCTCAAAGCGCCTTGGAAGTCTCATGGACTTTCCAGCAGCTGAATCTGCCGATCCGACCCCTTTGCCCAGAAGGCTCATGTTGTTAGCATGGGTGGCGAGTCGAATTGTTGCTGCTATGCATTTTTCTCTGCGAGGCCCCCTGAAGAATGATCTGCTGACAGTAAACTCGGGTCAGCGGTTCGCCAAGGAACGGCGTCCTGGGTTGGAGTACTAGTCCGGCTTGCACTGGGCTGTTTCCCAGCCAACCCACATGATTCAACACCAAAAGAGAACTTTTGCCCAGAGCCAATCAACCAAATTTGGCATCTGATCTTTTGGTGCCCGGCTTGGGCAGAGATTTGTTGTCATGGTTTGGCTTCGAACATTTCCCGGGAGAGTGTCCAAGTTTGAGGGTTCCCCTTTTGGGTTTTCTGCTATAGCAGAAAAAACACGTGTCTGCAATCCACTCAAGAGGGTCTTTAAAGCGGGGCTTTGGTTTTGCTTTGGTTACCCACCCCGTTCGAGTCCCGAATAGGGGTTAGCCACTCACAGGCGCTGGGGCAAAAGCTGGCACAACGCTGTGCGAATGAGGCGCATTGGGATCCCAGGCTCCCGACTAATCCGTATAAAAGCTGATGCCCAATGCCGACCTTACCTTTTGATCTTTTGGTTTGCGCTTGGCTCATGTTTAGTGTTGGCCCCAAAATGTGATCACTTTGTATTCAATGTCCATTTCCTTCGGGCAAATGAGGAAAGGCCGCCTCAAGAATGGCACTTGACCTTCCCATGAAATTGATCCGGTCACAGCACGTTCTCGTCGCATTTTATTTGAGGAAGGCATGTCAATTCTTGACACGGAGCTGCGATTTTGCGGAGTTTGGCCTGAAATGTTGCAGTTCATTGTGTTTTTGTGGTGCCCTGTGCGTTTCCCTTCGAAATCAATCTGTTGAAATCTGAGTTCCTTTGGGGTCCGTACATGTGGGATGTGGGTTGTGTCAACATAATTCTGGACCGAGGTTAGCTCCAGTGCTCCACCAAACACGCCATATGTCCCCACCCTCCTGAATAGCCTCAGTAGACCTTTGGAGAAAACCAGGAGGAAGTTGGGGGGAGTGAGCGTGCCGCTTTCTTCATTCTCGTGATGGGCGGCTTTCCAGTCTGCGAAATTGTGGAGGAATAGTTTAGATTGTGGGCTTAGTGCATTATGTTTCCACCAGGGTTTAATGCTTCATGTCGATTGCATTAGGTTTATTTATTTTATTTGAATCTATGATTATCTTTGCAATGTTTTCATGTTACTTGGATTGAATGCAATTATCCTCATGAATCGGTGTTTTGTGATCATCTGTCCCTCATTTTTATATTTTCTTAGTGATCATTTTGCGTTACCCTTTTCGAATTGAGTTATAGTTTTTTATGTGTTTTTTCAAGTCTTGCTATTCCGTTTGCCATGTCATTTCGTAAACTGGATTCTCCCAAAAAAAAAGACACACCCATATATACAGACAGGCAGGCACATGACCAACGCCCGCCTCCTGTAGGTGGTGCTGCTGACGGGGGCCAACGCGGTGGTGCAGGAGGTCATCTCCAGGAACTTTCACCAGGCGGGGCTGACTCAGGGAGTGTTCATGGGCTTCAGTCACCTTTTTTCTTGTATGTTCCCTTGAAAACCAACCCCGAAAAGGGTACCCCCCCCCCAAAAAAAAAGAGAGTTTGAGTTTCTGGACTGTAGTCACTTGTTGGGTTTGGACCATTGTGGTAGTTCATAAAAAGTCTAGGGACGGTTTTTTGGTCAGTCCACTCGACTCGTTCGGAAGCGAGGGGGTGCCAGAGCTGTTATTTGAGTCTCTGAGTTGGGCTTGAGTCACTTTTTGCGTGGCTAGACCAAAAGTGTGGTGTTTGTTTCGGCCAAGCGCTCCGGAAGTGTCACGCTGTGTCACAGCCCTGAACATCCAGCCGCAGCTTCGGGCCCATCGATCCTTACGATGGTGCACCTGGCGACTCAAATATCCAGATGTGAAGTGACGCAAGCAACGCGCTTGTACCTTGCATTTTTTGTGCAGCAGATTCACATCACTTTCTCTAGGACAGGAATCAGCAGCAAAGCCGTTCTCCTGGGAGGCTTAAGGAGTTGTAAAGCTTTAGCAATTCGTCCCGCACCATCTAAGTCGCTGTTCTTGGGAAGGTGGTCGTTTTTGAACGCGTGTTTTGGCTCGTTTTTGAACGCGTGTTTTGGCGCGTTTTTGAACGCGGTTTTGCTCAAGTGTATGTGATTTACAGCAGCACGGCCATTTTCCAAGTGTCCATGCACACCACGATGAGGCGCACGAACACGCACCACGATGCACGTGTAGCACATGGATGGCGCCGTGCTTTTGGGAGACAATCGTCAACTGTAGACCCGGGAACACAAAGCACAAGGAACGCAAAGCGACATCATCATCATCATCATCATCATCATCATCATCATCATCATCATCACCATCATCATCATCATCATCGTCGTCAACATCATCATCATCATCATCATCATCATCATCATCACCATCATCATTACCATCATCATCAACATCGTCATCATCATTAACAACATCATCACCATTATCAGCATCAACGTCGACATCACCATCATCATCGACATCATCAATGTCATCGCCATCGACATCCTCATCGGCAACATCAATATCACCATCATTAACATCATCACCATCATCATCAACATCATCACCGTCATCATCATCATCATCATCATCAACATCATCATCATCAACATGGTCAACATGATCATCATCATCATCATCATCATCATCATCATCATCATGACCATCATCATCAACATCGTCATCAACATCGTCATCATCGCTACCAACAACACCGCCATCACCACCAGCGCGCAGTCGCACGGTCACGCAGTAAGAGGCGAACGTAACTGCCCTACCCCATCCCCCCCCCCTCAGGACGCAGTCGCACGGTCACGCAGCAAGAAGCGAACGTAACTGCCCCACCCCACCCCCACCCCCCCCCAGCCCCAATACGCAGTTGCGCCGCCACGCAGTAAGCGGCGATCGCAATTGCAGGAGGCTCCGATTCGCAAGTTACTTAGACCGTATGAGCTAAGGATGTTTTTTGTGTCGCGAGGACAAGATAACGAGTTTAACTCAGAGCTTGAAATTTCACGAGTTTTCACGGCTTTTTCACGGAGTAGTAGCGGCCTTTCAGTTTCCCGCGCGAGTTATTACGGCCGTTAGACCGAGCTTTCACGGCTTTACGGGGGCCAACGAGCGCAAGTCGCCGAGGACACCTTAGCTCAAAAAGCCAAGGTAACTTGGGACTTGGAGCCTCCTGGTTGCCCCCTTCCCCCAGCCCCAGGGCGCAGTTGCACGGGCACGCAGTAAGAGGCGAACGCAACTGCCCCACGCCACCCCCCCCCCCCCACCCCACGGGTGCCGCAGGATAGCCCCCCCATGTGTTCGAAAATGACCCACTCTGTGTTCGAAAATGATCCAGGACATCGGTGTTCGAAAATGATCCAAAATCGGTGTTCGAAAATGATCCCCCTCCCGCTGTTCTTCACCCATTCACCATGTTTGGGGTGATGTTTGATTGAATAAGAATCGTTGTTGGGGTGCTGTTGAGCCGCGTATTTCGCGAATTTCCAGGACTTGCCGCATTCCAACTTCCCATGATATGGGTGTGTCTTTGTTTGCAAAAAGAAAAGTTGTTTCCTTTTTGCTTCCCTTAAAGCAACAAAAAGGGCTGTTTCCCTCAAAGACACGCACCCAAATTCCAGTCAGTTGCCCACGGACCCTGAAGCAAGGGAACTCTTGTTGGAAGCTTGGGGTTCCAAACTGAGGTTTCCAAGGGCATTTTAGCGACGGGCCATCTGGGCACCCTGCCCATGTGTTGCTCTCAAGCTAACCCGAAGCCGGCGCTAAACCACCCGAAAATACACCTAACCCACCCTAAGCCATCCCTAACCCTAGACCAGCCCTTCAAACCACCCCCAAGCCCAGCCCAAACGAACCTGCATGTCCGATCCAGGCCCTCGGGGGTGAGGCGCGGATCTTCCATTTGGCGCCCAGGCGAGTGGCAAACCGTCGGTTTCGAACTTTGGTGATTTGAGTTCGGTTTTCCAATGGTTTCCCTTCAACACCAACCCCAAGAAGGTTCCGCCCCCCAGAAAAAAGAACAGAACCATTTCAGTTCATGGACTTGAGTCTCTTGTCAAATTTGGACCATCGTGGTAAATCAAAGTTTGGTGACCTGTGTTGCAGTCCACTCCGGAAGCGAGGTTTCCGTGTTTGGTCATAGGATACTCTGGACGAGAAACGTGGTAGTATGCAACAAAAAGGATCCATAGAGAGGTTTTGATCCCAAGTAGATGGTGTTCTTGGTTCAAAGCGAATCGGGTTTCCCATGTTGGTCCATGTTTAAATTTTGCCCAAAAGACTAACCTTTTATTTCAGTGTCCTTTGGGCAAATGAACAGGGGTCACGATGTTGCAATGTTTTTTTTGGCGGCACAGAAGATACAGGCCCTAGGGTTCAACCATTATGGCCAGGACCCAAAGTAGATGATGAAACTTAGGCAAATCATGGTGTCTGAATATATGTGTGTATATATTATATATATATATATATTACGCCCCATTGTTTTAGTGGTGGTTTGCACCCAAGGGCAGGGGCACTGTGCGTTTTGCTTGGTCTGAGGCATCACATGAAAAAAACAGCAATCATGCAATCCTGGAGAAGAATTGCTGAGTCTAGTGAGCATCAACTGAGAAGTCCGGAAAAAAAGAAGAAGAAGACAAATCAAGACTCCAGCAAATCGGTTGTGATTACCTTTTTTATGGAAGGCCTGGAGCCTGTGGTGGTTTGGCTCAACCGTTTGAACCCACAAATGTCCATGCTGTATTTGGGAGGGGCATGGAGATTTCCCCGCAAGAAACCGGAGCACGAGGCCGGATATTCTCAAAGCCAACTTTACACCGGGCCCGGAGCATTAAATCGATGGGTCGCACAACACATGTGGAATTGCGGCGTTGCTCAGTACGGATTTGCATTTTTTCGTTTGGTGGGTTCCAATTTTTGCGCGTGTCCCTGGTCCCTTGTTTAGTGGCTTCCAACCAAAACAAGCGAAGCCAAAAACCGGTTGCTGCCCGCGTTTGGGAAGGTATTCGCCCAACACATGTCCATACTCTCCAACCATGGAAGTGGACATGGGGCTCCCGGAAAGGAAAGTCTTCCCAAACCCGATTGTCAGCTTTCATGAATGGAGAGAAACACCCGCGGACCAGTCTTTCGACCCGAATCTGTCAGAGATTCCCGGTTGATTTTGACATCGATGGGGAACACACTCAAAAGGTTGCAGGTGAATCCCTGCCAAAGGTTCCTCCCGATTTTATTCCGCGTTGTGTATACCATTTATCCCAGCCTGGGCTAGCGGTCACTCGGAAAAGGTATCCTCCTTCAAAGTGCACAGTGCCCCTGTCCAGCAAAGTCGGGTCTCACCAAGCCATGTTTTCAAGGGCACCTCTTTTAAGAGGATGTTTTGTTTTTCGTTTCTAGCTGGCCTTTTATGGACAAACCCATGACTGCCCTCATTTTGGGCTAAAAACGGAGGTTTGCATACCCCAAGTTCCCTTTGAAAGCTTTGGAGCGCCAAGACCCATCTTGGTCATACTCAGTTTCTGCGTCTCGCCAGGGACTTCAAGTGTCCTTGGGACTTCGGTAAGGCGACTTGGACGCACGTAGTCCTGTGTTTTGGCCCCGGGTTCCTTGACCCCAAATATGGCGGGGCTTCTCAAATTCGACCAGAAAACGGGTGGTTGACTCCTTGCGCCAACCAAGGGTCAATTTGAATCCAGACGAGAATTACAATATGTTTGATCCACAGGCTGAGGAAGAGACGAACAGGACACCAGGGGAATGCCCCCCCCATTTTTGGATCCCATGCAATGTTACTTACTCCCTGAATTGGACAGTATACGTTTTTGAGGCGGATTTCGTGGGAAACAAACAAATATGGGACTTGTTTGGCTAACCCACTTAGTCACGAATCTGGTGCGAATCTTATGAGCTCATCACCTGTGGACAGCTTCCTCAATGCGTGTTCCGCCGGGCAAGAGACTGACTTTGGGTGGCAAAATGGTGGCCAGGTTTGGAAAGGGCACGTTTTGTTTTGTTCAAACTGGCATGGACCCTAAAAATGCGAGTGCTTAGCGGAATCCTTCTTTTGGAGCTGGGACGCCCCGGGAGTAGCCAAAATGCTGTCAAGATGTACTCCTATTAGGTTGTTTCCCAGCCACACTCTTCGTTTAGGCGTTTTTGCACTAGGAGTCCCTATTAAAAGTCTGACTTTTAGCGAGCGATGAACGGACTACAAGTGAAGCTAGGTATTGCTTGGAAACCGCAAGGGATGGTTCAGAGAGGTTTGCTCATTCCCTGCTCACTCCCTGAGTTCCTGGACAGTCGCTTTTTGGGTTTGGACCATTTTACTGGGTGGCTCCCAGCCATCCCCCTTAGCTTTTTAGCGTTTCATGGTTTGGTGGGGATTTCCATTTCGCCCACAACTTCAGCTTTTAGCGATGGGGATCAGACAACGGGCAGCCCAGTTGAGTGGCAAATGACAAGATGGACGTTTCTTCGGCCAGGCCAAAGAATTTGAGACTTTTCCCGCGTGCCATGAGGTCCTCGTTGCCGGGGAGGACATGATGGAGCGCCGGAAGATTCTGGCGCAGAGCGCCCACGCCTCCCGGGCGCGAGACGAAGGGTTCGATCCCACCGCTCTAGATTTTGGGAATAAGCTAAATGTGAAGAATCTGACATTTTGATGGCTCCCAGCCATCCCCTTAACTTTTTAAACTTTTAGTGTTTAGTGGGGGTTTCCATTTGACCCACTAAAAGTTAAACTTCTAGCAGGGGATCTGAGGGCAGCCCAGACATGTTTTGTTTATTTTTCATGCACCCCACATGTAGGGCCAGTTGTGTCCTTAAGGGATGCATTTGTCCAAATGTGAGCAGCGCCCAAAGCCCTCATGGTCATGCTTGCTGCTAGTAGACGGTTCTACTATTTGACTTTATTAGGAAGGCATATATACCTTTATAATCCGATATAGCCATGCTGGTAGAACCAGCAGGCTCCTTTACCCAGCTGTGGCGGAGAGTTTTTGGCATGAATGAGGTACTTTACTCAGATCTGCCAACTGAGACCTCCCGTTGGGTGTTCATGCGTCGTTATCTTTTTTTTGTTGGGTCCGTTACTTTTGAAACAAGTTCCAAATTAAAGGTTGAGCATTCTTCCCACTTCCACGCACTGGAGGTTTGGAACGATGGAGTTAAAAAAAAAACCTCCGATTTGACTTTGCTTTCAAGTGGCAAGTTGAAACGGATCTTTCTGTCTCGGGCTTCATTGGAAGATTCTAAGCCACCAAAGAGCATGTTTTGGGACGGATGTTCCTTGATTCACACCTAAGATTCCTGAGGCTGCAATCTACGGGCAGGTCCATTGTCACACTCTGACCCCCAGCCATGCTCAAGAATCTCGCTTGGACCTCCCGAACATATTCAGAAGCAAAAAAGGGGGTGGGGTGCCACCGACTTTCTGCCAATGGTACGGGTCCTTGAGGCTGTACCCAATTCTAAGGGCTCTAAAGTATATAAGTCATAGCCGTGCTGGCACAATATATATGTATATATGTTCCAGGCCGTGGACCCCCCCCCCCGGCCCCCCCCCCCCCCCCCCCCCCCCCCCCCCCCCCCCCCCCCCCCTGTGGGGGTGGGGTGGTGTGGTGGGGTGGTGGGGTGGTGGGGTGGTGGGTTGGGGTGTGGTTCGGAGTTGGTTTAGGCTTGGTGGGTTGGTTTAGGGTTGGTTCAGGGTTGGTTTGCGGTGGGTTTCGGGTTGGTTTGGGGTTTGGGTTGATTTAGGCTTAGGGCTGGGGTTAAGGAGGGGTTGCAGGGTGGTTTGGTTTAGGGTAGGATGTTGCGAGAGGTGCGGGGGTGTTGGTTCACGGGGTGAAAGGGGGAGTCTGGGACCGAAGCTGCAGGGCTCACACGGTACTGGACAGCATCCCCAGCATCCCCAAGATGCGGATGATGCGGGGGAGTGGGGGGACCATACCATTGGGGGGGGGGGGGTACGTGGCCCAGGGACTGGTACATATATATATATATATATATATTTACATATACACATACATATACGTAGTTATATATATATATATACACCTCCCCCTCCCGGCCGGAAACCTTCTATTCGACGGTTCCAACCAATTGGTTCCAACCAGTGCACAGACGGCACTTGGGCTGCTGCCTTAGGTGGCCATCACCGTGGAGGGTGGCCCTGGCACTTCGGACGAGAAGCTTGGCGGACATGTCATGGGGGTGTTCGCTGGGGTTTGGGGCGAGGGAGGGGGGGGGAACGTAACCCCCCTGCTTGGATTTGTTTCAGTTGGCCTGTTTCTGTTTGTTCGTTTGCTTGCTGTTTTGCTTTGTTTTGTTTCTGTGGAACACGTTTGTTTGTTCATGTTTGCCATTTGTTATTAAACGACCAGCTCACCTCTGGAGCGACGGCCTGGGATTTAGCTAAATGGCTAACCCTTATTTACAACCCACTCAACGGGGCTCATAACCAGGGCTTTGGTGGATTATCATAGCGATTCGCTAACCAGCAGACGAATTCCAGCAAAGCAATCCAATGCACTTGGCCAAAGTTCAAACTCTCCAAGGAGTTGTGACATCACCGTCCTTTTAGGATGGTGGGACTCCTATTTTCGCTTGGTGGCTGATCATGACCCACCTAGAAAAACGAATAGCGAAGCGACAGCAACTGGCTCCCAAATTGGTGTGTGTGTGTGTGTGTGTGCTTTAATTCAATTTTCCCAAGGGACCGTGCTTTTCAGAGCACCCCAAAAATCATGGGCTTTTCCGCTTGCGCATCCGGGGTTCAAACAGACCTGTGTTGGTCTTAAAGTGAAGGGACCCCCAAAATAAGTTTCGGTGCGCTTTTTGTTTACCTTTGCAACCAACCAGCGTACTTGGGTGTTCGTTGTCATGCTCTTGAATTGTTGGTACCCTGTTAGTGGGGTTAACCCTGTTATTTGGGTAATCCAAATGGGTAACCACTTACTAACTTGCCAAAGATCATCCAAGTAGCCCTTAACAAAGACACCCACCCGGCCCCACGCTCTCACGAGGATCAAGAACGCGCAAGCGGTTGGCGTCCCTGTGCTTCCCGTGGCACGCACGGGGGGAGCCTCCTCCTCGGAGTTCGCCGCTCGGAAAAATGGACCAACTTCAGGCGCGCCTGCCGTCGTCCTTAAAAGCTCAGGTAAATGAAGACCAAGGACCGAATTCTCCGTGCCTCCATTTACAACTATAGTAGGCAACCAGGGTGTCTTGCTTGCAAGATTTACATGATGGTTTCCCCTCGTTACCAACTATAGTGGTAGCCGGAAGTAGTTGTTTCATTGTATTTAAGCGACATGGTCACATTAAAAGTTCTTGAATACCCAGGTAAATGAAGGCTAGGTGCGCTTTGTGGTGCGCACCTCTTTTTTTGGGCGAGCTCAGTTCATTCCAGGGCCCCGCCGCAGTCTCCCCAGCAAATATGACAAACATGAATCAGAATCGGACAAATCGGTTTTTCTGCGTCGCCTGAACCAGCTCCTGTTCGGGGATATGGGGCATTGAGCTGCTCGGGGCAGGTGGGATACCTACCAAAGGCCAGGCCCCAGTTCAGATAAAATCCCCTCAACCGACCAATTCACATAATATGTTTTCATCATTTCATAACAGAACCTCAACTCAAGATTTGATACATAAATTTTACAAATATTTTTCTAAATTTTCAAAAATATATTTTTCCAAAATCCCAAATTCCCAAAATATATTTTTCCAAAATCCTAAAATATAAAATCCCCTCAACCGACCAATTCACATAATATTTTTTCATCATTTCATAACAGAACCTCAACTCAAGATTTGATACATAAATTTTGTAAATATTTTTCTAAATTCCCAAAATATATTTTTCCAAAATCCCAAATTCCCAAATCCCAAAATCCCAAATTCCCAAAATATATTTTTCCAAAATCCCAAATCCCAAAATCCCCATAATTTCAAAACATAAATCTTACAATGTTTTTTATTGTAAGGTTTATGGTGTAATTTATAATTTAAGTTCAGGATAATAATTTAATTGACAAATCTCATTTATTTCATACATCATTTTAAAAATAATATTAATATCTCTCACTGTATTTTTAACATTAAACTTTTTATAAATTTCAATATAATATTTGATATATTCTTTAATATCATCTCCTTTCTTTTGACTATGACACAACATCAATAATATATCAGCAATCATTACATATTTTTTCTTACTGATTTTAAGAAACTGTTTAACATAAACGTAAGGTGGTAATTTATACACAGTTAAAAATATCAAAATGTCATCTTCTACATTTCTATTATGTCTTCCTTTTAATCTCAACAAACATTTGATTATAGCTTGGTTATCTCTCCAGGTTTTACAAGTTCTACATAAATCTTCTTCACCCAAAGCATAATCAATAATATTATTTATTATTCCATTAGGTAAATTTAATTTATACAATTCCATATTTTCCTTTTTAAAGTGGCAACAGTCGTAGCATTTCTTATTAATATACTTATTGATTTCAATACCGTTCATTTCTTCACTATTAATATAAGGTGTTTTTTCTTTAGGACTATTTCGCCTAAAACTAAATTATTAATTTAATTCTTTCTATTATTTTGTCACATGTTGTTTCATTATAAAAATTATTTTTTATTTGTTTTCTAAACATTCCCATTATTCCAATCGCACGTTTTATTGTATATCTAAGTTCGTGAGTTTTATACTCATTATTTAAAAACTCATTTAAAAAATCAAACAATACAACGTATTTTAAACGTTTAATATTAAAAGACATATTGTATAATTGTTTTACAATACTATAATACTTAAAAATAAAATCATTATTATATCCTTCGTCGTTACATTCTAATAAATTATCAAATCCTTCTATAGTTAAGAAATTATTCATTTCAATAAATACAAATATTTCTAAATCATCATCAATAGTTTCATTATTTATAATATCAATATCCTTGTTATTCATATCATCAATTGCTTTTATAATTCTATTGCAATTATTGCATATTATATATTGACAAATATTATTACAAACACCATTTGCAAAACCCCGTTCAATTGGTAATTTGAGCATTTCACAGTCATCACATTTATAACTCATAAATTTGTCTTTCAATATATTTTTAGCATTGATACCGACTGTATCACTCATTTTACTATAATATATTAAGTTATTATTTCTTCAAGTCATTTTGAAATCATAAATCTTACAATGTTTTTTATTGTAAGGTTTATGGATTAAAATAATGGTCAGGCAATATGTCTTCAAATATGTAATCTACATATTTATCTATATCACCAATGTATATATATTTGATATTGTTTTTTCCTATTATTGAATAAATATATTCCCAAAAGAATAAATACAACAATAGACATACTTTATATTTAGTGTTGTAGTAATACCATATACTATATTTAGTTGCTCTAAATTCGTTCAAGACTTCGTTTATTTTATCTTTGTCTAATAAATGCCAGTCAATCCATTCAAACAAATAACGGTATTTTTTGACAAATGCTTTGTATGGTTTAATTGCGTTTATTCCTCCAAACCTCCTAATTAAATCTATATTACTAAAGAATTCATCAATTTCATTTTCATATGACTTTCTGGAAATCTTCTGGTAAAAGTGTATAGGAAATCTTGCTTGGTGTCGCATAAAGAATTTTAACTGTAATTGAAACTTTGTATATCCCTTGTCCTTATGTTCTTCAAGAAAAAACTTTTCAAGGTCTCTTGTTATACAGCATTGATTGCAGTATACATTATATTCACTTATTTTATTACATAGATTAGCAGATAATAACTTATACAATGTTATATTAACATCATTCCTTTTAGTTGTACAACATTCGCAATTTGAATAATTAAATAACATTTCACTAATAATATAAGGCGTTTTTTCTTTAACTGTATTTCGTTTAATATTAAACTTTCAATAATTCGTGTCTCAAATAAGGACTAGTTTTTCCTTCCAAATGAAAGTAAGATTGCCCTAATTTACTATCAATTGATTTTACTTTAAATACTTCTTTTAACCAATGACTGGTATGTGCCTTTTCGCTTATGCCTTTCTTTCTCATTATTTTTACATTACTACCCACTGACAACTCAGGGTATTTTCTAGTATTTCTTGCTTGCATTGTAATATTCATTTTTACTTCAAATTCATTCTTTTTCATTCTTGCGTCCTTCGGTGTAAATTTAGTTGCGGAATGAATATTCTTATTATTGTAAGTTAATAATATTTCAAAAATATAATCCGTCCATTGGATATTCTGCTTTCCATTTTTCTTGTCCGCTTCAACTCGTTTAAACAGTTGATCTTTAAAAGTCTGAATTCCACGCTCCGCAAATGCTGGATGACCTCTAGTTCTATGTAATTCAATTTTCTCCTCCTTCAAATAATCTAATACTGATTGATTAAAAAAACTGCCTTCCTCGTCGGTATAAATTAATTTCGGTTTGCCACCCATCTTATTGATATTCTCCATCATTCCTGCTAAAATGTCTGGCGGTTGCTTTGACTTGATAGGCACGATATGCATATATTTGCTAAATATATCAATGCATATCATACCAATTTTAAATGTTTGATTTTCCAAATCATTTTTAGAAATGAAAAACATATCAACTTGAAATTCCCAGAAACTATGCGGAGCAATAAAACTATTTTCACCTCTCATCTTTCTTTTTTCTTCTACATTCTTACTAAAGAATTCATTAATATCGTTAATTGTAATACTACTATCTTTTTGCTTAGCATCCTTGAGGGTTGTTTGTTTTGAACCATAACCGCTTCTATCATAATATACACTCTTGATAATTTCTTGTGTTGAACTCATTAATTAAGTTAATAAAATAATTTTGAAAAACTCATTTTCAAAATTATTCATGACGCACTGCAATTGCAATAGACACAAAAGGCGGTGCAGTTTTCAACTGTGTGGCATAACTCATTATCACAACGTTGAGCAGTGAAGTTAGAACTTATTTTTCCTCCTCTTGTATCTAGATTAAATTTAATTCCGCAGTTTTGGCAACAGGATTTGAAGTATTTTAAGCACCAGTTTTCGTCAATGTATTGCTCTTCGTCTATTTCTCTTTTTGCTACTCTATCTTGCTGTTTATATCCTTCAACTTTGTTTTTAAAATAGTTGATTACCAAACTCTTAAACATATCTTCATCTCCCTCTTTGTTCTTGTAAAAATAGACATTGTTAAAATCCCTCGCTCGTGTGATACTCGTCCACAACCATTCCCTACAAACTAAATAATCTTTGTTCCATTCGTGAATGGTCATATTATCACTGATTGATGTCCCCTGTCTGCTATGAGTGGTAGCACAGTAGGCATATCTAAAATGCTTATCTACAATATCAATGTCAAGTGTTCTAATGTTCTCTGCATCCTTGATATCTTGTATTGTTATCTTGTATCCTTCGTTATTAACAACCTTCCACCTAATATTAACATTCAGTTTTCCTTCCTTGTCCTTTTTGTAAAGTCTGCATATTAAGATTTCTCCAATTTCATATTTGCATGTTTTACCTAATCTTTTTCTAATCTCATTGGATACTGCCTCACATCTAATATTTGTATATGCTATGTTGTTTTCACTATTCATAACATCTTTAGTAAATTTGAAATGCTTAACTATCCATTCTTCAACTGCCATCTTTTTAATCCAAAAGTCATCATAGATTTCATTCAGTTTCTTTCTGTTTCTTTCTCCTTCTTCTGTATCCTTACCACCTACTCGCTTACATATCTTTAAAAATATATTATATTTAAAAATAATGTCAATACATTTGTCAATGTATTCGCCTGCGTTTTGAGTATTAGTGAAAGGTTCAATCGGTGGCAGTTGCTTGACATCACCGGCACCTATAATTACGATGTCAGGATTGTTATTTGCAAACACCCTTATTTTGTTCAATATGTAAGGACTGGACATATAAATCTCATCAAACACTATACAATCAAAATCTGAATAATCAAACTTTGGTAGGTCATCCCCTTTATCAACTGGAATACTAAAGAATGTATTTACTGTCACCGCTTCGCATTCAATCTCTTGTTTCAACA